AACCAGACACTGGGCTAACAATGAGAGAAATCACATCCATGATCATAAAGATCATCATCATAATAACACACGTCATACTTGAGTCTGGAACATCAAATAACACAGTTTTACTGATACCAGTACCAGTATTGTCATCCTGAACAATACCAAGTACCATACTGACACAGCCTAGTGGGCATTATGGGTAATGTTCATGCTTTCACTGTACAGTGTATGTGTTACTTGTATTGATATGAAGTTGAAGTTGATATCAATAATGAAATTGGAATCAGGAAATTCTTATCAATTCACATCCCATGCATTACATTTGTATTTCCTTCACCCTGTTAGAGTGAAGGAACGTTTTCCTCCTAAATCATCAGTCAGGTAACAGTGTATTTACTTTCCTTTTTTTTTTTTTTTTTTCAGCCTCATAAGTATGTGGTGCAGGCAGAGGTGCTGTACGAAAGCTGGGATTTGGATAATTCTCACTTGGAATTTATTTACAAGCTCAGAAATTTGGAGAAGAATGAAATGAGAGGTATGAACTGAAAAAACAAAACAAAACATTTGTTGTTTATTGTTGTGTCGCTTGTGTATAACCAAATAGCCAAGTAAACTGCTCATTGGCACACATATTCCCCAAATCTCTTCAATGGTGTCATGAAGTATAGAATTGATCTTTTCAGCGTTTGAGCTCCTCCCCACAGTTTTTCCTTTTGTCTGTTTGTTTTCCTCGATGACTCTTTGTGCGAACGCGGCCGTTCCTACAAATGCAGTGTCGGTGGCCAAGGCTGAAGCTGTTTCTTCTCCACTTCCTCTAACCAGAGGTCTATAATCACGCGGCCTAATGAAAGCCAAGCGAACGCAGCTGCTCTCAGATCTGAGCGTGTGATTTCTTGGTTCCGACCCACCGGTGGGGGCTGAGGCAATAATCATGTCCTCTGCCACCGACGCCGCTCCTCTGCCTTTATTCATGCTGCACAAATTAGACCGTTTGAAAATTTCGCAGACGCTCCTTCAAATATTTCCAAAGGGGACGACATACAGTAGTTGCAGCGAGGTGGGATGTTGATGTGAAAAAGGTGATGCATGGGCAGCAATTTGCATGACAGCCCAGAGGAAAAAGGCCAACTGGCTGTCACTGAATCCTCTCTTCTCCTCTCTTGCTGCTGACAATGGCATAAAATCTACGGATGATATAGACGACCGCGCGTGTGTGAGACAGAGTGTGTGTCCATTTCTCATTCATTATATTTCTGTATCTGATGAGCCACTGTTTTTGACTAGATCTGTTCATATTTCTGTATCTGATGTTAGTGAGCCACTGTTTTTGACTAGATCTGTTCATTCTCACTGTACCTCCTGAACACACAGTGAATTGAACATACAGTCTGCTCACCTCCTGAACTCACTGTACACAGTGAATTGAACATACAGTCTGCTCAGGTTTGTCCGTGAGCGTACGTTCAGGCCCACGTCTGCACGTGTCTTGTGGCTTTTCTAATAAGCCTGTGAAAATGGGTCAATGGAAAGTGAAGCCATGTTGGCTTTTGCCCCCTGGTGCCCTGGGAAATATCTCCACGGGAAAGAAAACTGAATTAATTTCACCCAGTTTAACTCTGTGTCTCAGTGGTGAGCAACATGGACACACACTCACACACAGGATCAGAGTATGTCGTGTCAACCTCTGAAATCCCCTTTAATAGGCTGTTAAACAAAGCCTTGATCAAAATGCTGAACTGTGCATATTAGGAAAAATGTCAGAAAGAGTCGCTGTTTCATCAACTCTGCTGTTTGGCAATTTTAACAATAACTATTGACTTTTTTTGGTGAAGTGATTTCTCCAGTAGTATCCTCATTTTCTTTTAAATGAAATGACAAGAAAATCCAGTTCAGAACGTTATTTAAACATTTATTTTGGTCAAAACTCATTTCGAGTTAGAAAATAAACCCGGCCAAAGCAGAAATGTGAAGTCAAGACGTCGACTTCTTGTTATTTGTGAAATAATAACCATTCAATGTTGGGGGAGTGTGTGTGAAAATGTTGTGGAGTGAAGCTGAACACTGGGTTCATTTATTCATTAAGGTACAACAGTGCCATCTAGCGCACAAGCAACTACACAGCACACTAAGACCTGAGTTTCTGTGTATTTATCTTGACGTTCTTTTTAAATTTAAGTGCACAAACCAGAGGAGGTTGAGTCTCCCGCTGCTGCCGCGACCACTGAGTGTGAAAAGGAAAAGGGAAAAACAACGTCAACGTCCAAATCATGCCCGACACCGGAAACGGTAAAACGTCAGCCTGATCACAGTGAAGCTCAGAGTTGTTTGACTTTTGTTTCATGTTGGTGTGTAAATCATACGTATATTGTGTTTGTGCCCCCTCTGGTGTCTCTGTGTGATGGTGCAGACCATTGACCAGACTAAACCTCACTGGACGCTGCGTGTGGTCACTGATCAGACCAAAGCAAACAACATAGTGGTGAGGAAAGACACGGAGAGGATGGAGCAGATCAAATCCATCAAAAAAGCCTGGGAGATGTTGGAGCCCGGCCGGTTTGCTAAGGTGACCGTCTGAATCCAAGAATCCACTCGACCCCTGATATGACATGTCACTGATACATATATATATATATATATATGACCTTGTTTTTTGACACTGAAACTGAGATCATGTGTTTGTTTGTTTTTTAGGCCTCACAGTCTCGTGCTTTGAGATCATGTGTTTGTTTTTTTTTAGGCCTCACAGTCTCGTGTCAGGTTCCTGCACCAATTCCACAAACACGGAGGTGCAGAAAGCAGAGATCAAGGTAAAAACTGATGCTGTTTAAATACATCCTCCTGAAATTTAATCACTGTTTTTTTTACCAGCATCCAGTGCTGACTCCACCAGTAAGAAGCCATGTGACCCCCCCTCCACCTTTCGGAAAATGGACTTCACCCCCTTCATCAGGTCAACTCTTCCTTTTCCCAGTTAAAGTTTATCAGTTGTGTTCCGCTGGTTCCATTTAAGGAAACAATTTTTTTTGTGCTAAAGATGAACATTTGTGCAAACCTCATAAGATTAATGACAGTTCACACCGTGCACAATTCCCTGCTGCTCTATTTTAGTTGTTTATATTAAAAGCACAATATATATTAAGGCTCAAATGTTGCTTTTCTGTAGCGCCCCCCTTTGGTCCACAGTGCTACAGTATTTTATGTACTATAGGTCTCCTTTAGTAATACAGTACGGCTGTTCCTGGGACTTGCATTCCAACATAACTTGTTTACTTCAAACAATACACCATATCAATAATGGCCACCAGAGGGCAACTTTTACACATGTCACAACGTTAAAAAAATAAGGAGTTGGTGGAACTGTTTAGAACTGGCCCTGATACTGTGATACTAAAGTACTACTGTATTAAAAAGTAAAACTTCTACCATTGAACATAGAAAAAACCCCAAATCAGTTCAGTTTCCAACACCTTCAAACTGATTCATTTGTCCTGCTGCAATAACAATGGCCACTCGCCCCTTGAGGGGGTCCACCCCCCATTTTGGGAACCACTGAGCTAAAGTGATGGACATTAACTTAACCTTAACCTTAACCTTAGTATAATTTGTGAGCATTAAGGGTGTAACTTTGGACTTTTGTCACTGTTACTGAGGAAAAATAGTAACCTCTTAGTTTTACCCTCTTACCCCCCCACCCCTGCCCAACCCTCTCCACCCCCGTCCCTCACTCTGATTAATGGTGTGATATTTAGGACTTGTAATTAAAGAACTATTTTAGTTTTCCAATGAGCCTGTCACTCCAGTGAGAACGTTCCTCTCACGTTTCCTCTCCTTTCGTAGGTGCTTTATTTATTGAGGTGTGTTGAGTTTTTAGAGGCAGCGCTCCTGCTGTCTCTGTTGGATTTGTGTGGCTACACTGCGGTAAAGGTTGAACATGACTATGTTCATTACTGAAACGTCTCCTCATTGTCACGTCTGCCGCCCCAGGTCCTTTATTAGGATCAGCTCCCAGGAAGAAAAAAGGAAGTCACCTTTTACGCTGGGCGATCTCCCTTGTGTGCGTTTTTATTTCCCGTTTTATCTCACTTTTTTTTTCCTTTCATCTTGCACTTTATGAAACCATTTAGTGCCTCAAATTGCCGACATAGAAACAAATAAAATGATATTTGCACCTCACAATCATTCAAACAAAACATCATCGTAAACAAAACCAAACCATTTTCAATTTTTAGACTGACGTTTACTCAGTTTAGGAGGAAAAGGCACAGCGCTGGGTGTTTTATTTCCCGGCCACATTTGCATTTTTATTTGCTCCGCAACCGCGCAAACATGGTTGGCTGTGTCGGGTAATAAACGATAAAATCTTCTGCCTGGTGGAATTTGATAAGATGTAAAGTAGTTGGGGAAAAAATGTGATCCTCAAAATATTCCTTTCAGAATGTGATACAGCAGCCTCGCTGCACTGTATTTTCAGGAGGAGAAAAAAAAATCCAGAGTGTTCAATATAGATAAGTATTTCTGCATTAACAGTGAAGTGGCTTTATTAAGAGGAATGTAAAATGAACATGAAAACTTGTGCTGCCTCCCAGACGTCAGAAGGAGACTCCTGTGCTGATGGACTCCAAGATGGTGGCGATCAAGGAGAGGGAGCACTTGGAGAAGGTCCAGGGCTACCGTTTGGTGAGGGAGATTGTGGTGGAGTACCACAAAGAAGAGGAGGCCAGCAGGAAGGAGCTGATGAAATGGCAGTTGGACCTGTTTGACAGAATGCAGGTGTGAAACACTAAAGACAAAGACGCATGACTCTTACTGCTGGTTTATTTGGCAATAATGACTCTTCTTTGCTTTGTTTTACTTCAGGCAGCTATGTGGCGGCGCTCTAAGAAATTTTTGGACGCTTGTGAGGCAATTTGCATCCGTGAGCTGGAGGCGAAGAAAAAAGAGCTGGAAAAGCCCCCACCTCCAGAGGGTGGCCAGAGTCCTCCTGAGGAGAAGGCCTCCGCGGAGTCTGTGGCCACCTAGCTGCTCTGAGCACGGTCAGAACGTCCGTCTCAGTTCTCTGACCAGCTCTTTCACCGCTTGATCACCACAACAACACCTCCGGCTTTTATACTCCTACTTCCTTTCACATGTATTTTTACTCTTTAAACAAATGAAACACAACAACACGTAGCATCACTCTCAATATGAAAATGCAGTATAATACCCATAACAATCCATGTAGCTCTCAGACGTCAAACACTATCAACTATGTGAGTTTTTTTAAGACCACTGACTGCTGTCCTTCACCAAAGTTCATAGACCTCATCAATCCAAACACTGTCCTTTCTGGAATAACGTCCTGTTTTGGTAGGTAGGTGTATCTGTTTCAAGTGTCATTGCCCCCAAATACTCCCAATTACTGTAAGGAATTAACCATATACCTCTGTGTTCCCTCTGCAGGGCACACCCCACACTTTGGGAACCAGTGGTTTAATGGAACTATGAGACATGCTAGCAGGTAACCATGAAGATGACAACAGTGGAACCAAGTCAGAGTGGTTATTTAATCTGAAATCAATTACCCTTCAAAGGGGGGATTAGGGTGGTGGGAGTCCAGCCAGCCACAGACAGGGGTTAGGGGTCAGTAGGTTTTCCATCTTTCCTTCCTTCCTTTATTTTTTCCAGCCTTCTCTTGAAGTTTTGGTCGTGTCGCTCCTGCTCTCAGTCATGTCATTGGTTGTTGTCACTCAGATGGGATTCTTTCTGCTCTGCCTAAAACGTACAGTGAACAGTAATGAAGACTTAATACCTATTTTTTTAAAGTTAATTGTTTCATGTTGCATCTGTGTAAAACTACATATGGATCCTGGATTTGACTTTACTTGTAGTTTTAAGGCAACTGACGACTGATTTGTGGTGTAAATCTACTGTTTTTATAGTAAACTTAATGATATATTAAATACAACAGATTCTAAAATGTAAAATGCAGTGTTTTATGGACAGTACGTTTTCTTTCGTCGCTCCTGTACGACCTGATCTTTGATGCCCACTGTGCCTGGACATATTCTTTTGTTTCCTGGAAGGTCAATGTATTGAGTGTGTGACCCAGAGACATGTTTGATGCAGCCCACCTCCTACAGCCTCTGAAAGGATCTGATTGATTGATTGATAGAAGCCCACTGATGGAGTACATTTGTTCAGGAGGCAGGACGGTGCAGTGTGGTGTGGGAAAGGAAAGTGCAGCTTTAGTCCAAAACAGGGTTTGAGGACGGAGTGAGTGTATCTGAGGGCAGATGGTTGTTTGTTCTATAAAATGGAGGGAGAAAAAGACCGAATTTATTGTCTGAGGAGCACGAAATTGGTCATCACACACGGAGTCACCTGACCAGCTGAGGAATGGACAGCCAAATTGGATATGAAAGGGAAGATGGTGCCATCTAGTGGCTGCGGAGGTTAATAAATCCTCATTACAGCGTCTGCACTGGGTTTTGTTTTCAAGGTTGACAATAATGAGTCGTTGCATGAGGAAAATGATCATCACACGCTGTGTGGATGGTTCTGTACACGTGACTAGGCTGTGAGTGGGTCTCTGTGACCAGATGAAAAGGTGTGTGTGTGTGTGTGTATCACCCTGCAGTTTCCTGTTTCAGAAATACAGCTTCTGTTCTCTGTTATTTAAAAACAAAACAAGCAAAAAAAAAAAAAAACATGTTGAAAGTTAATCTTTATCGACAGAATAAAAGAGAAACAATCCATGCTTAGTTTGAATAGTTTTCCCACTGCCGTTCATACACACACTGCCTTGTATCGTATGGTTTGTGCATCGTTTCCGGACCTCAGGCTTCATCAGTCTCAGCCTCCGTTTCTGCCCTTGTTGCCGTGAGTGCCGGCTAATCCTGAAAGCTTTGTTTCTGGCACAGAACATCCCCTCTCGTCTGTGCTCCCCTCCCTCTTGCCAAAATCCAAATGCTAACATTATTATTTGTTGGTTTTTGGTAGACCTGTACCCCCCCCCCCCTCCTTTCCTCCACCTACATTTCCATTTTTGTCTGTATATAATTAGCTTTAAGGTGAGTAAATGTGATTTATTATAGTTTTTTGGCAGTGACTTTTGCAGTGATTGGAGATGTTGTTGAGGACTTGTTGTTGTTGCCGGAGAAACCTTTGACTAGTTCTACCTGATGTAACGACTTTATATTTGACTCTTAAACATGGTGTCGTAGTAGGATGATGAAACTGAGTGAAAACACATCCATACACTTCCCACACAGCATCATTAATAAGGTGGCTCATTAATTCACCTACCAACATAATGAAACATTTCCATGAATGCGTACGTAGTTTTTCTAGAAGACTCTGTTTTGGTGAGAAGTAAATAGATGAGATAATGAGAGTTGTTTATTGCAGGAAACTCTGTTTTCACTGTATAACCTTTTACTTTGACCTTTTCCCCCCTTAGATATGCATGTATTTAAGAAAAGTAAGCAACGTATGAATGCTCAGTTTGCAGTGACCTTCAAAATGAAATAACCTTTTTTTTAAACAACACAGCATCTCCCTCTCTCTCTCTCTCTCTCTCTTTTCTCCTCCTTTCTTTTTACACTTTGCCTTTGGTTTGACCTCTGTGAGCTACATCTTCCTCCATCAGCTGGATGGAACCCGGGGAGTACGCCAGTGAGATTTGTTGCTGTGGTGGAAATTACACAGCAGCCTCAGCCACAGATGACAATAGACTCATTGGCTGATAAACCCGGTGTAACGGTGTGTTCCTGGTACAGATTAGCTTTGTGTTCGCATCCTCCTCATTTCCCACCGGTGTTCACTTGTCGATGTCTACACACGGCTCTATTCTTGTGCAAAGGTCAAACAGAGGCAGCGTTAAAGGAGGGATAAGGAGCCCACACGCTGGAGAGAGAGAGAGAGAGAGAGAGAGTGTGTGTGTACACACTGGCACTGTGTGTACACTCAAAAATGTAACAGTGACAGACGTGGCACAGTGGCCGTCATTCATTCAACCTCACAGTGGAGTCGAGGGATCTGAGAACGAGTCACACTGAGTGGTTCCACGTCCAGTCTGCCCTGATATTTCAGCCTCGGACGTGAACTGTGACAATAATAATATACTTGAAATTACACAAAATGAAGGTTGAAAACCGCACGTCTTGTCAGAGCTCAATAGATTTGTACACAAAACACGTCTTGTCAGAGCTCAATAGATTTGACCCCTCCTCCCATCGCCCACGGTCCAACCTCCTGTCCAGACGATATGTTTCAACTGATCTGTTGTGACTTTGGCGTTCTGTCAAAAATGTTGACTCTCACTGTTGTTTCCTCAAAGGTACAAAGTTTTTAAGATTCAAGGCTAAATGTAAGATTTACATTCTGGAGTGTGACCCCGCTGCATTTCCCACAAATAGCTTCACAGTGATGCCTTGAATCATAAACCGATGGCCTGGTGTCAGAGATGATTCACTTATTTCAGCCCCAGCAGACTCTGTGTACACAGCCGAGCTGGGAGGTGTCTGGTTACCAATAAAAACCAGAGGCTCTTTATTGAATTGGACAATAGCCTTTGCCAAACACGCCGGATAATTGCGCGACTTAATTTATGATGGGAGTCCGCAAAACAGGAGACGTCCTTGGTGCTGTGGGTCATCATCTCATCTGAGAAGCAAACTTCATCTTCGGTGTTTACTCTCAGGCCTGGTGAGCTGGATTTCTGTGTCTCTTTCTGACTTCTAAAGTGGGTTTGTGATACTGACACGGCCACGGTGAAGTGTTGAAATGATAACCAACAGGGGAATGGTCATCGATGAACCGTCTGTGGCTCAGCATTGATTTTCTTTTTCATTTGTTTAAATACAGCAAACAAATACCAAAAAAAACAAAACAAAAAAACCCCACCAAAAAAAACCACACATTCGTATTCATAAGTGTGTACTTGGCTCCGGCTCCATTTTTCAGATGCCGTTCTCATATTAAAGAGGACTTTTATTGACTGTATTTGGTTTTACTCCCAGGCCGTAGACTGCCACTCATTATGTCGGTGACATTGAGCTGGGGATGAAGTGCTGTTCACCTTCCGTCCGTCTTTCCCCCGTCTTCAGGTCTCTGCTTGATTAAAACTGAGTTTAAACTTGAGTCCAACGGCACCGTGCTGTGGCTGTGTCAGCTCTGGTGTTACTGCCATTGTAAATTTGGCAACGCCCTTTAATTGTGCGATCCATCTGTTTCTGTGTGTGTGTATGTGTGTGTGTAGCCAGCCTATCGCTGTGGCTGATTATGAAATTAGATATACCGCTGTTCGAGGAGGGAAGCTAATCCACCCTTCACTTTGGCCTTGGCTGCAGGTCTGACCCTGTGACCTTGACAGTGCATCAAACACGGACATTCAAATCCTGAAGCTTTCCTGTGGGAAAACAAAGGCTTTCATCACGGACTCGGCCACGTCTTCATCTCAGGCCGTTTGATTATTGGCTCTGTGGACGTGATGACGGTTTTATGGTGTTTTTTAATTTCTCCACACTCGTGTCCCCTCGTCTCTTTTATCCTCACATCCATATTTATGAGCCCGGCCGTAGCCATGGGTGTAGTAAGTGGGTGGATGGACCCAGGCTGTGTGCAGGAACATTTATGGATGTGCCTGTAAGCTTTTGCTACATGCTGCAGGTAACACACCAGTGTTTTCATGGCCCAGTGTGACATTGAAGGCGCCGTCCTATTAAACCAGACAGAGTCAATCAAGTGTTCCCTGCAGGACAATGGTCCATTAACCTGCAGTCTCTCCGGTCTCTGTGTGTGTGTGTGTATGTGTGCTTGGAGAGATGAGCATGTGTGTTTCGTGCAGTCTGTAAAGTTTAACAATTTTTGGGGGCATTTACTTTTCGTGTGTGGCACTTAATTTGTATTGTAAGTTAGCAAAAAACAAGAAAAGGATAAAAAAAATGTGTTGGATTTGCTGACATGAAGAAAATGCTTCAAGTTCCACTGGCAGTGTGCTAGCTCTGATGCTCGTAAAGCTACCCAATAAAACAAAAGGTTAACAGCAGGCCACTTCCTGTACTTAGCTGAAATTTTACAAAACAGTTAAGTGATTATTTTTGGTCAGATGTAGCTAAGGGTTTGGCAAAATATTAGATTTGAGGGTAATTTTTTTTTTTTTCTCAGACCTATTTGATGTATGTTTTTACAAGTCTTTGCACTTAGCTCAATGTTAGCGTGCATAGTCATTACTTAAAGGCACGTACCTGGGGAAGGTCGACACAGGCGTGGGATTCCAAATCTCAGGTGTGCTGTGGTGCATGATCTTCAGACTAAAGGTGAAATGTCCTGGTGTATTTCAGGGCTTTTACCAAACAGACAGTCACCTTTACTGTTGGTCTCTTTGTTCTTGTGTTCCCTCAGGTTTCACACCAAAAGTCTGCATCTCCAGAGGTCACACACTGCTGACTGCAGCTGACCGTCGTGGTGCGAGGTGAGGCTCATTCTCCTCTGTGAGCAAGAGGATCAAACCCTGTCCAACAAATGGAAAGAATAGAATAATAGGTAAATGTCACACGATTTAAAAACGATCCGTGCATAATCTGAGAACATGTTCAGAGAAATCGGATGCAGGTTAATGTACTGTACAGCAGCGACCCCTGACCTTTTGTACCAGTGTCGGTTCGGTGATCGTTTAACCATCAGTAGAAGATTTTTTTTTTAATTGCTGAATTAGATTTAAGTAAAGAAAGCAAAGAAAATGACCTGATTCTCTTTAAATGCTTAAACCTAGCACTGAAATGAAATGATCCACGGATCAATACTGGTCCATGGACCAGGGGTTGAGGACCCATGCTTTACATAATCGTGTATGCACGATGCCCACAAATGTTTCCTCATTGTCTTTCTTATAGACTACCATCTGTGTAATGTATGCAAATGTGCGTAGGTGTCTTATCTTTTACACTGCAATTTGCCAGGCAGCAACAACCGCCCCCCCCCCCCTCCTCTGCTGTGTCAGTGTGTGAACATGCACATTGATTGCGTTCAGACTCCAGGTATAACTGATTAGCTCAGCGTTTCCTAAAGGAGACTTCTGCCAGTGCTAATGTATGCACGAGTCTCCTGAGCAACGCTGGTGGGCACAGCCCTAATGTACTGACTCCTTCATACAGTCAGCCTTCATTTTCACGTCGCAGCTGCTCGTCCGTCTTCACCTCTGACCTGGGATTAGCCGTGAATTAGCGACCAGCTCGTGGTCGTACGTGCTCCGTTTGCCCCACCATCTTAGGGGTTGTTGTGTTGAATGATAATACATAGATAATGAGAGGTGCCCCAGTGGCAGGATGTACTTCATTGATGTCATTACTTCATGGGGTCGATCCTGAGTATGATGTTAACAATGCCATCTGATATACAGGAGTTCAGATGTTAAGTGGCGGCTAATTGGAAAGACTTAATAAAGCTGGGTCTCTGCAGAGGCTGGTTCTGGGACATGTGACACAAGAGGTGAAGTCAAAATGTACTAAGATACCGGACACGTTTTTTTTTTTTTTCTGCTCTTCGTTACCGTGGTTACCCTTGATGTGTTTGAAAATATAAGCTAAAACACGTGTTCCAGAAACCACCAATGTTATTTTTGATGATGTGCTTTGTTTTATTAGAGCGGCCGACTCTGACATGGGGTGACAGCGACTCCTGCGGCTGACCTTTCCTCCTCACCCCCTCTTCTCCTCCCTCTTGCACTTTGGTTTTTTCCAAAAAAGGTAATGTGGCACTGCCTCGGCGAAGGCCTTATCAAAGAACACAAACACAGCAGTCAGCGTCTAAGTACAACACACACACACACACAATGCGGCCAGATGAATGGCCCTGCACGAACACAATGGTGCTAAATTAAATCACTGATGTCAAAGTGGACGGAGCCCCCTCCCCATCCACGCCACTCTCACACATGCAAGAATGGACTAATAAGCACCTCTTTGTTTGTCTGTGTAATGTATTCTGGGTTGTGGCCATATTAGCCGTGGCTGGAAGGTGCATATGCTCAACTATTGTTCCGGAGCTTTCCTGCTATGATTACTGAATTTATAATTTTGCTCCCGGGTCCTCTTCATATCTTTTTGTGCCATTTAATTCAGCAGCGCCCTTCATTTCCCTGATGCATCTTTTACATCAGCAGCTCAACAAAGGGACAGCTTACGTGGAAACAGAGTCATGTAATCAGTGTCGATAATTACAACTTGCAGTTGGGCCGCACGTAAAAAAAAGTCCTTTTTTGGACTCGCTCCAGTCTGTGTAGTTGGCAGCAGGAGCGCTAAAGAAACAGCCAATATTTCCACCGCAGCCCCCTCCGTCCCTGCTGCCGACGGGCACCTGTCAAAGAAGAGTGTGTTGGCAAACAGCTCAGACAGGTGGCGACGTCGCTGTCGCTCAAGCGTGAGCGGCCTCGGCTGATATTGTCACTGTTGGCAGCGTCAGCTGTGACCTTACAACCGCACAGCCATTCACTGAGGGGGATTCTGATCCCAACTTTTCCTAGACAAATATTTAAGGTGGATTCTTAAGGTGGTCTCCAGGATATGATGATTTTTAAGGCCCAGTGGGATATTTCCACCTGACAACCGTGTGTCTGTTTCATCTGTCAAATTTTTAACACGTTTCTAATACCAGTGGGGTACACTTTAACCTACTTTTGTGGCTCCACTTCTGCAATTAGCCACGTCCTTTTTTTAAACACGGCCTGTTGCTGGAGCATTACCTCTGGACAGACCAAATAGAACATGGCATTTATGGTTACGTTAAGTTATTATGCTTATGTTATTATTTAAGAGTGTTGTTACATGTGCCTGCGTTCCAGTATGAACAACTAAGTGTTGCTTCTAAAATCGCCAGAACATGGCATTTACGGTTACGTTAAGTTATTATGCTACCAAGGTTCCATCACCTTGGAAATTGAGTGTTGTTACATGTACCTGCTTTCCTTAAGTTCCAGTATAAACAACTAAGTGTTGCTTCTAAAATCGCTCCTCACATACTGGGTAGCTCCGCCCATTTTTCTATTTCTACCACTTGAAGAAAAAGAAAAACCCTCATTAAACAACGTTCTTTTAAATGAATTTGAAATTCTTTGTCAACCCTGACAAATAATGTCGTAAATGAAATGATTATTTTCTTCTCCTCCTCTTCTGTGGGTTGACGTCATCTGTGTGACAGACACAGAACCATCTCTGTACCCAGCAGGTCACACCTCACTCTGAAGTGTTACTCCCACACCAAGTCCCAAGAATCACAGCTGCCGAGGATTTTCCACAAGACTTAAAATTAGCAGGTAGACTCCGAGACTTCATTATGTGCAAGAAAGCATAGGAAGCATCGTCGCCATGGATACTTAAACACTTGCTTGCTCAGCTGTTGGGTTGTTATATGGGCTGTTTACCTGTAAAACCCACACAGGAACACCTTTTAGATGCTGTAACAAATCCACGCGGCCCTTTTCTCTCCGCACCGTCAGTTTTAAAACCACAGTGTGTGGAGTTTATCAAACAGGTTATGGTTAATATATTTTGTTATGGCTTTTTTTTTTTTTTTAAAGAAAAAGGTCCCAGTGTAAAAAATTGCATCCTGGCTCCTGTTTATTGTATCTTCATTCTCATTGACTTTTTATCCTTCATTTGTCATTTAATGTAATGTTCAGATTCTGATTCTTATTCTTTGATAAGCAGGAGATGGTGGGCTGCCACCCCTGACCCACCCACCCATCTGCAAGGATCAAACCTGGGTTGGATGCTCCTTGTTGCCAAACTTGGACACTTGGATCTCAGACACTCAGCTGATCTGTTAGCCTGCTGATGAAGGAAACACATTTTTCATATGTTATGTTCTTGTCTGTGAGTTATTTGTCACATTGACATCAGTTTATTTATATTTTACAGTAGAAGGAAGATTTTTTTTTCCAATTTTGTCAACTCATGGAGCAGAGCTTTACAACTGCATTTATGGCACCCCCTGCAGGTGAGGCAGGGCGGTTTAGGTTTGTAAATATTGACAATTCTTGCATTTAAAAAAAAAAGCTAGGATTTTTTTTATAGTTTTGTTTTCTTGTTTTTGTTTTTGTTCTGAATAAGGGTCTGTTTAATAACCAAACTAAAAATGTTATTTTCTATTTAAATATGTAGCATTTAAGGGAGGCGGACGGTCTTTAATCCTCCTGTAAAATGACACTCCCTTGTCTGTTTGTGGCTGTGTCCTCAACACACACACACACACACACACACACGCCCAGAGAGCATCCCGTCACCAGCATCACCAGGTGCAGCGGTGATTGAGAGAGAGAGACAGAGAGAGAGAGAGAGAGAGAGAGTCAGTCTACCAAGGTGGCAGGATTGGAGTGGGAGCCTCTGCTCTGTCAGACATGCGCAGGAGCGTCACCACCGTCAGCATCACCATCACCATCAGCAGCAGCAGCACCGCTGCTCTGCGTTTCCGCCTTGGCTGAGCGGCACGCACGGCCGTGAGGGGAGGGCAGCGGAGCCGAGAGAAGGAGTGGAGCTACTACAAGCCGCAGTGGGAGCAAACACCTCACGGACTCCGTGCGAATTAAACCCGCATCCAGCAATTACACCTGGAAGGAGGGGACCCGCAAACACAGGCAGAGAGAGAGAGAGACAGAGAGAGAGAGAGCAGTGCGCACCAGCTCGGTCCAGCATGGAGACTGCGATAAACAGCAAGCAGTGAAAATGTGAGATGCACAGATGTGCGCGTGAATGCATGTGTGTCTGTGTCTGTGTGTGCGTGCGACAGTATAAAGTATAACCCCCTGCTGTGTCTCTTGCGGGTGATTTCCATTCTGTGCTCCGCAGTCTCAAATTAGAAAAAAAAATGAAGAAGTTCAACATCAGGAAGGTGCTGGACGGACTGAAGGAGGTGTCCTCCTCCACCCCCTCCGTCCAAGTGGGACCACAGGAGAACCATCTGATCCAGGAGACCCTCCAGTCCGAGCATTTTCAGCTCTGCAAGGTGGGTAGTTTTTTTTTTTTTTCTGCCCCCCCCCCCCCCCCCCCCCCCCTCCCCGTCCCATCATCGCGTTCATCACACACCCCCAGCCCCTCCTCCACCTCTGTCCACATGTCCTCCTCATGTACTTTGTGTATAATTCATCCTGTCCTGTCACTGGGGAGTCCAGCAGGTGTGACTGGGCTCAGGAAATTAATCTGCGTGCTCTAGCCCGGCGGTAATCCTCTCCTCAACACTACCGTACTTGTTAAGTGAATGGTTTTGGCACCACCACCACCCCCTCCCCTCCACCTATCTCCCTCAGGATCCCT